ATATATATATATATATATATATATATATATATATATATACATACAGCCTCCAAATATCATGTTTACTCATAATGCTGTGTGTGGAGATAATGATGTTCTTCAGACACAGAAGTCAGATTCTGAATTTGCTCAATGCAAAGTAATTGCTACAGCGCTGCTGCAGATCATGTTAATTGACTTGATCATAACAGGTTGACGCTGTGGCCTTTCAAGATGTAAACAAGGCTTTGAAAGATGTCATTAAAAAATCAATCTAAGCTTCTCTATGAATTCTGATATGTCAGCCTACAATTTCGTCAAGATAAATAAATCCTACAGTCTTTATGAAAAATATAAAAATAAAAAGATACAAAGACAAGAAGTAACAAGCACATTAACCTGAGTTTAATTAAATATAATTGTCCAGTACCAAAGCTGTCAGATTAGCCTCTTTATTATAAAGATAACAAAACACTATTTTTTAGACTAGCCTAATGCATGACATTTGATTTAGTTAATTTATGAGTTTGATTTCAAATATCCCTAAAAAAAATGCAAATAATAGCTGATGAAAATCAGAGTTAATAATTATTAAAAATAACAGATTATCAAGATGAAAACAGCTTTTCGTGTCAAACTCACTTCATCAATTTTCTGCTCGATCTTTACTTCTCCTTGTTCTTGTATTGACCTGCGACAAAACAAACAAAAACACAAACACGGTGGTGTGAGGAAATGTTGCAGGTAATCACAGACACGGGAGCTCAAGGATCATTTTCACCTTTACAAAGTTAAACAATCATCATCATTTCTATCCAGTGAAAATAATTGGGAAAACTATGTTCCACTCAAAAAAACTTGTTTTTGTCCTTCATGACTTCGCATACAATTTTCCACAATAACCATAAAGGAATTTTTCTTTTAATTATTGAAAAATAGAGTAAAAATATATATTTTACGTGCAATTTACATATTTTTTCTCATCTATAGCATGAGTTTTATCAAAGACATTTGAGTTTGACAATTTACTTGAAGTGAAATTTAAACCATCAACAGAGCACTCTCAGAAAAACAATTCTGTTTGTGTCATAAAACGAAGCACATGCAAGTCCTAAGAGCACGTCGGTTCAGGTCGTAAAGTTCAACGTTTCTTTGCTTCTAAAACAAACACGTCTACGTCACGTCACATTGTTAAACTGCTGCTTGAAAACAAACACACTATGAGAGAATAACATTAGGAAGAAGGAAACTGCTTAGGATTAAAAAAGTTAATAGATCAAGTTAAAATGTATTATTTTGAACATGTTTGTTTTCTTTCTAATTGAATTACTTCATTGGCACTTTTTGCTAATTATCATATTTTTATTTGCACGAGTTTCTGGAGCAATTTGTCATATGACTTAAAAAAATAAAATGATCAATAGATCAACAATAAATAGTCTGGTCTACTGCGCAGCTGTGTCTCTTTAATGGTAAAGCTACAACTTTGATGTATGACTGCAAAAAACAAACAGAAGAAAGTACATTACCTCATGTTTGTATATGTTCCCCAAACAGCTGAAAAACAGGACAGGTATTAATAATTATAATTATAATATAAAAAAACAACTAATCTATTAAACAGTGTCATACTGGGTAATTAACATCTTAAATTTCCAACATTTATAAAATATATATATATATATAAAATGTATTTTCTGAATAACAAATCTGTGTCAGTGGAAAGAAAATTCTTTGACCAAACATCTGTAACTTGTCCCAGTTTTCATTGGTAAACAGCATTTTTGATTTCTCTTACCATTTACAGATAACTGTGGAATTCCAATAAGGTAATTATTTGTTTGCTTGCAAAAATAGGCATATCCAAGCAATCCTTTTTAACCATAAAGTCAATCTTCATATCAATAAATAACTTAACACCTCGCTCTACCTGAAGAATTTTTCTGTTATGGTCATATCGTCATCATATTACAATGAAATTTCAATAAAAAAAAAAAAAGTTTAGCTGAATGTTTTCAAAAAGCTCTCACAAAAAAATATTCAAATGTTATAAAACAGTGCTAAGAATTGAAAAAAAAAAAGATTATAATTAATTGTTAATAAAATAAAGATATATTTTCAAGATAAAAGTGGTTAAAGCTGTAGCCTCACAGCAAGGTGGTCTTTCTGGGTGGAGTTTGCATGTTCTCCACTTGCACATGGGTTTTTTTTCCAGTTACTCCAGTTTCCTTCCACAGACCAAAAACTTGCATGTTAGGTTCAGTGGTAACTCTAAATTGTCCCTAGGTGAGTGTGTGGAAAGTTTTCCGTGTCATTTCTATGTGGCCCAGTGAGAGACTTGTGACCTGTCCATTGAATCCTGCCTCACTCACACGCAGAGCTCTGGAGATAAGACACCAGCTCCCCACAACCAAGAAACCAAAAAGTGGATAAAAATAATTATATATATGTTAAAATGGTAAATGATAGAATCTCTGACAGTTTAGTTTTGAGGTCAACAAGTGGACTTGTAACAGGGCCCAAACCCACAAATTAATTAGATGTGTCTGATTAATGTAGTATCAAGTCAGATGTCCAGTGTAGTTAAAGTCTAATAAAGTAATGTCCTGATGCTGCGCAACAATCCAGGTGGATAAGTCTAACAAGGTGGATTCAGGTCCTCTGGAAGGATTCTTCTTTGTTGAAAATATTTGTCTCGTGGATATCCTAACTGGGCCCTCCTGAAAGCACATAAGAAACCCAAACAGGGCTCCAGCCAGCCAGTGGGTGCAAAGGAGGACCCAGACCCAGACCACTGGTCATTCTGTATGTTGCAGGAGTTTACTGAGATGTTTATTTTCTAAACATAACATCCCAGTGGCTTTTAAACCCCAAAATACATTATGGCAAAGACTGGTTCATCCCAAAGATCCAGTCCCCCGGCACAAACAGAGTAATGTTGTGTATGCTGTTCAGTGTCAGGAGGGTGATCAGTCAAACATGAGGGAAACTAAACAGCCACTGGCCAAAAGGATTGTAATGCTGTTATTGCATTTCTCAGCCCTCTGTGAGTGAAAAGGCCATCAGGGCACTAACGATCAGTCGTTAGGCTTTTAGTCCTTTTGCAGGTGAACCAGTTTTGACTGTCAGCAGCAAACTATGACAGGGGTGTCAAACTCACTTACAAAAGGGGGCCAAAATTGAAACATTTTTCAAACTAAGGGCCAATTTCAGAATCTACATTAACTCAAATCAGATACCCAGCATATTTTCTTGGTCACAGGTTCCTCAACAAGAGTTTGATTAGTCTCATTTGATGTTCTCTGTTGTGCTTTCGACATCATAATCAAAGATTACTGATAAAATTCAAGAAATAGAAGTATTTTACATTTCACATATCATCTTGAGGGCCAGATTAGACGTCAACGAGGGCCACATTTGGCCCTCGGGCCTCGAGTTTGACACATAAACACTATGAGAAGGTGCTGTTTATTATAAAACTGAGTTTATTGCAGCTCCTCAGACTGAAGAAGTCTTTTGGATAAAAGATGAAACGTTTCAACAAAGAAGAATCTATCCAGAGGACTTGACTCAACCTTGTTAGACTAATATATTTTTTTTAATTCAGTAAATTGTGTGGGTTTATTTTTTTCTAAATAAAATGACTTTCCTTCACTAAACTGAAAACTGGTGTCAAGAAGCAATTAAAATGCAATACTGTGCAAACATTTTAGGATAGTGTGAAAAAATGTAACTTGCACAATTATCAATTCTAACATCTTACATTTAGAATTTTACAAAAGGCAAAACAAACGAACAAAAGATGAATCTAAATCAAATCAACATTTAATGTAACCAGCTAGAACAGCATCAATTCATGTAGGTAAGCCAGTACCAGGTATTGAATTTTATGGGGTCAGAGTCAGGTGAATGATTAGCTAAATCCAACAGGTGCTGTTGGTTATTTTTGGATGGTATGTCACAGGTCAAACACCACCACAAGGTAATATCAGCAAGGTCTTCTAGACAAAGATTTAAAAACAGCAACATGTGCTGTTCAAGCTTATTCAAGCACTACCTGAAGGGTTCAGGACCAATACACACATTGATCAGCCTAGAAAACTTTAACACATCATCAGATCATGTCCAGCAGTGCCAACAGCTCAGAACTGACAGAAACCTCTGATCCACAGGTACACTTGAATTAAGTATGACTAAAAGTGGTCTTTATAAGTAAATATATACATATAGTAAAATATGCACAAAAACATAAAAATGGTGCACGGATAAAATAGCAGCAAGTGCTCCGAACTGATGAGTAAAATATTGTAAAATCTGCCTCTAGCAGACGTAGTTTGTTTAAAAAGCTGGAGTGTGGTACAATAATGTCTGCAAATAAAAATGAAGCATAGGCTCCCTTCAAGTTTAGAGCTGCATTTCTGAAAAAAAATAAATAGAAAAAGCCCGAGTGTGTGGTCAGAAGTACCATAATGTGTTCTCAGTGCTAAGTGATACAAGCATCATTCAGTACCACCAAGGAAGAGTCCGACTGGGTCCAAGTTTATTTCGAAGCAAGACAAGTGCTTGAGACAAACAGCCAATGTTATTAGGAAACACTTCATCTTATACATGAACCAGGCGGTGATTTGCAAAGAGCCCTGATTTCAACATCACTAAATGAGTCTGGGATTATAAATCGACAGACATACCAAAGCCAGTCTACAATCACAGAACTGTGGTTAGTAAGGTGCAAGCTTGGTTCCTGCTAAAACTGTGTGCAATTATAAAAAGATGCTGTTTTGAATGCAAACAATGGTCCCACTTAAACCCTGATTTAAATGTCTTCTCTGTTCTTTGCACTGTTAATTGATAGAAATAAACAGTAAGACTGGATCCTTATGCGTTCTTACTTACTATGTCCACACCTGTCTAAAACTTTCAAACAAGGACGTCAGGTTTTCAGAGGACACCCTGGAGGCTTTGCAACTTTACGTGTGCCATTGTTTTGTTGGAGATTCCTACAGAAGTGTTTCAAAATGGGGGTTTTGAAAGATTTACGCCTTACATAAAATCCAACTAGCCAAACTGGTGTACTTACAGGCAATGTAGGCGATCAAAGCGAGGGCAAAAAGTAGCTTCATCATTCTTCTGTTTAAGCCTGAAATCACCCAGATGACCCGCTTCATCATCCGCTCAAAGGAACAGGAACCACTCGCTCAGGTCCAGCTAAAGCATTTTGGGTTGCAGTTCATGTCTCCGGGGGATACTTGACTTTCTAGGCAGGGTGGCGACGACTTGTGTAAATAACTTGTAACTAAAGCAGGTAGCCTCTGCTACGTCAACAGCAGCAGCAGTTTACGTGGCTAGCAGCAGACACAGATAAACAGTATCAGGTGTCAGCCTACACCGTGGAGTGATAATATCTACACCAAAACTTAATTACCAGCGCCATTTATCCCAAGACGAAAATACCACGTGAAAAGTTGTCTTAAAAATCCTTTAAATGTATAAAGTACATCGACAAACTCACGGAACTCTCCCTGAGCCTGATGGTTAGCCTTTAGCTCCACACTACTAGCTGCGTCCAGCTAGCAAGCTGCTAAACAGACCGCGTTGTTTTGTTTTCTTTCGTTCAAGACTACGGCTAAAAAAACGAAGACTGTAGTTTGCGTCTCATTTTTACAATTAAGCGAGGAACTAAGACTGCCTACTAAATTCAACGTCACAGAAACGTAAACATGTCGACGATTTGCTCCTCTCAGCTGTGCTAAGGAAAATGTGAAGAGAGCGATTACTCGGCGCTCGATTGAGCAGCCTGACGAGATGCAGGACTTGACTTTGCACCAGAAATAAATATTTTATTCGAGTATATTCTTAACTGTTGTCGTTGTATAGCTTTGTTATTATAGTTTTTCAAACTGAGATAATTATAACTTTGTAGTTTTCTGTTTTTAAAACAGATACTTTTCAATACACACAGTGGCCCTTTTATGAAATTCCTCTACTATGAATTCAGCCTTGTTGCAGTTTATTTATTTGTTTATTTATGTGTTTATTTATTTTGATATTACAATTTAAGCCTCTTCTACGTCTTCGACGCTGTAAACGTTTAGTGCTACCCAGCCCTAAATAATAATGATAAATAAACAACAAACCTTTTAGGTGTACTGACTGAGAGAACAAAAGTGGAATGTCTTTGTTCAGTGCAAAATATTTTTTCCACAATAATAGATAAGACAAACAAAAATGATCAATCTAATAAGACGTACTCTTTGTTTATTCAGCCGTTTCCAAAATACAGCTATAAATTAGACTATAGTCATGCATTTCACTGGCACAAATATAACCAAAAGCAATTGGTTAATTTGGTAATAGTCAGAGAATCGTCAATTATTTGTTTTATATAACTGTCATACTTTTGAACTTCGCTTGTCCTCTCCTACCGTCTTTCTCCCTGCAGTGGAGAAGACTTTTGAGATTATGTTTAGCCTTGTTTTTGATTGTTACTTGACACTGGAACTGAAACGCTTTCTGCTGTGATGTTTGTGATTTCTCCAAGTTTTTCAAGGTTTTATATGAACATAGCTCATGTGTGACAGTTAAACCTGCACTTGTCATACATTCCACTTTTTTCTGAACAGCTATTTGCCAAGACCCTGAAATATAACTGCTCTGTGTTTAACATCAGGTAAAGCACATTTATAAAGCACATTTAAAACAATGTAACCTGTGGTAAATTGCACCAAAGTGCTGAACGATCAAACGATGCAAACCAAGAACTGGCTAAAAATGGAATAACCTTGCTGCACCTATTTTGCTGTGAATATGCAATTTCTTGCCTTTTAAGTGAAGTACTTTTTCCTGTATTAATTTCCAATATGTTGCTGACAGATTTTTATCTTTCCTTGTAAAATGACTAAATCAAAACAGATGTTATTAAGGGACATAAAATTAACTGATTAATTTAAAAAGACACAACATGATGATGCACAATTATTCTTATTACTGTTTGTTATATGAAATACATTAGCATTAACATACAATATTTAAAATTTTGTTATATAGGCCTATTATTTAAAGTAATAGTATTTGATTGTGCATATTAAAAATAGTATTGCATTTATATATTTTTCTTTTAATCAGTTTATTGTCATTTTAAACACCCCATAAAATACAGTTGTTTCAAACATCAACTACTTACTCATCCGCATATACAACCATACATATTTTTTTATGTATGTCATACATTCTTTGATTGACCGGTCTGATTGTTGCAGGTGTTTAACAGCTAGGTTCTCCTTCTTCTTTTCTTTTATTTCTTCTCTTTTCTATTTTTCTCCATTTTCAGGTGGAGTTTGTGACCAATCATCAGGAGATTGCCCTGAAGCAGCTGCTGCACCCTGCAGCTCATTACCAGCAGTCAAAAAGTCAAAAACTTGCTTTAAACTCTGAGTTACAGCAGTTTTTTTTTACCAGAACATAGAAGTCACTTTGATGAACTTGACTTCTTACAGTGGTTTTAAAATCTCTGAGTAAATGTCTACCTGTTACCTCCACAGAACTCCTTATTGTAACCAGTCTGTTGCAGCGTCCCTCGTGGAGATCACTGAAAGCGTTCTTGTACATCAAGAATCATCTGCTCACATCCGCTCTACAGAACAATTCAGCCAAAGAGCGCTTCTGGAAAACCACCTGCCTGCCCACTCTCCACCATCCTCTTCCTTCCAGCTACTGGACTTTATCCCTGTAAAACTGTGGTGTCCAATCCAGGTCCTTGAGGACCATTATCGTGAATGGTTGTCGTTTATTTGCACCAGCGCACACAATTCAATGGTTAAGGATGTCCTCAAGTTCTGCAAAGGCTTGTTAATCACCCATTATTTTGAATCAGGTGAGTTAAAGCAGGAAAATAAAACATCTAAATCACGCAGGATAGTGACCAAGACTGGATGCCAATGTCTTCAGGATCTTGCATTTTGTCTGCTAAAACATCTGTTAATAAGATAATGACTAAAACACTGACTAAAATGAGCACGTGTGTTTTGGAAGCATCCTAATGAGACAAAAAAAAAGACTTCTGAATTAAGCGAGGAAATGAACATTTGTGTAAATGATCTTTTAGCAAGTCATTTAAAAACGGATGAATTTAAACTTTCATATTTGTACAATGCTTATGTGTAGAATCCAAACGATCACGGCGATGGTCCTCAGCTGCTTTTATTTAGGACATCAACCAATTAGTACATTATGAAAACAAGAGAAGCTCATTCTGCAGTCGAGGCTCGGCGGCCTAAGAGGAAGTGGCATGCTGTTTTAAAACTGGATGTTAGGAACAACTAAGAACCTGTGGTTAGACGACCTGAGATCTGAGCCACATTCTCCATAGGTGTTGTTCTCTGTTGGCTTTTTCTGTTCTCAGTTTATGAAAGAAGTCTATATCTGTGTCTAAAGTGAGACAGGTTAAATTAATGTCAACAACAAACAATTTAACTAACAGGCTAAGAAGAACCTGTTTTTGTAATCACAGCTTCATCTGATAATCTGTGTGAGTTAAAGACAATGTGTTGTGATTTCAGTTGTATCGACATGTGGGATGATCATTCATTTATAAAATTAGAAGTGACAGAACGTCTTGTTTCTTTTCCTGAGGCTGCTCTCCATTCTCTGTCATACCTCCTTATCCCTGACCCATCAGCCTCCAGCTCTTCAGTGTGTGTGTGTGTGTGTGTGTGTGTGTGTGTGTGTTTACTGTCCACACCAATGATCAGATTCTTCTCACTGACTTCTTCACAGTAGCGCCTCCTGGAAGTGTGTTCACAGCTTTCAGAATCTGAAACTTTGAATCTTTGTTGTCAAGATTTTTGGCAATTTTTGTATCCTTTGAAAGTGTTAAGTTGTGTGTTTTTTATTACTCTCATTGACTTATATTCTCCACCTGCTTTGTTTTTGTTCAGGATTGCAAGCAGTGGGCACCTGTATCCCAGTGGTCAATGGGTGAGAGGTGGGGTACACCAAGAATGGGACAGCAGTTCATCTTTATTATTCATCCAGCTAACTGAACAACTCACAGTTGAGCATGGATGAATATTTATTATTTGGTTTAAATAAATGAAAATCCTTGGAAGGGGTCAAATAATGGCGGACAGGAATCTCGAAATGTCTCTATGTATCACCGGTCTGTTAAATGTACTGTACATCAAATAGCTCAAGATCTGGCACGACCTTTATCTTTAGGCGCAACTCAAATACATAACAATTGTCACTGAGCTGCAATAAATTTCCAAACAGAGAATGATGATCCTCTTAAAAAAAGTATCAAGTGATTTCTTGTTCCCCCCCCCCCCCCCCCCCCCCCCCCCCCCCCCCCCCCAAGGCTACATCAAAATATAGACGAAAGTGTTTAACTTGCAGCAGCACTGTGGCTCAGTTGGTAGAGTGCCGCCTCTCAAGTTCAAGTTCAAGTTGTGTTTATTTGTCATATGCTAGGTTAACACAAGGTTAACTCAAGGTCAACACAAGGTCAACAGGACAATGAAAAGCTTAGGATGAGAAGAACCGTTTTGACTCGCTAAAAAAAAAATCAAAGAAACAAACAAACAAGAAATACTAAACGCATGCAGTAAGGGTACAAAAACAAAGTAGCAAAAAGTGAAAAAGGAATTATAATATTTACAATATCCTAAAGAGAGATAGTAAACAACAACATGGTAGAATATAATGGTGCAAGCAGGATGAATTTAAATGAATGAGTATTTCAAGGTAGTAATATATGCTAAACTGCACATGACATATATATATATATATATATATATATATATATATATATATATATATATAAAGAACGTAATTAACATACTGCATACTACACAGGTTGAGTGACAGGTTATTGCACAGGTAGTGACATTAAGATTGAATTAAGATGGTGGTAGATACATAGATACTGTATCATTCATGATACAGCCACATAGTGCAGCAGCAATAAACAATAAACATATTAGTTGTCACAGATGTGGCTTGGTGCAAACTTATTTCCAGTCGTTCAGTGTTATTTATTGTGAGTTTAGTAATCTGACAGCTTATGGATAATAGCTGTCCTTTTGTCTTTTTCTCTCAGCGAGCAAGTCAGCCTGGTTCAAGTCCTGGCCAGGGGTCTTAATGGGTGGAGTTTGTATGTTTTCTCGGTGCATGTGTGGGTTTTCTCCAGGTACTCCATTTTCCTCCCACAGACCAACAACATGCATGTTAGTCTGATTGGTAACTCTAAATCGTCCCTAGGTGTGAGTGAGAGAGTGAATGGTTGTTTGGCTGTGTCCCTGTGATGGACTGGAGACCTGTCCAGGGTGTCCCCCACCTCTCGCACAGTGATGGCTGGACATGGGCACCAGTGACCCCCACAACCCAAAAAGGAAGAAGCGGGTAAAAATGAAGGATGGATGTTTAACTTAAGCTTCATCAAGGTTTCTTTATGTTTTAACAAGTAGGTTTTTTTTACAGCGAGCCCTGCCTGAGGTTTGTCTTCACGACATGCATGTTGGATAATTTGGTGTTTCCAAAGTGAAGGTCTCTGCTTCTCAGCATCATTTTCAGCCTGTTCCTCTGTGATGGAGGGCCTCAGGCCCAGCATGTTCTACTTTTCTTCTTCAGAGTCAGGTGGGACTGGTACTCAACCCTGCAGTTCTGCACAGGATGATGGGCAGGTGGATACAAGTTACATTCAATTACCACATTGCTGGTGTTCTGTTCTTTCCTGTTGTGCTCCACTTTTACTTGCTTTTTGGCTTTGTCTTCACATTCAGCGAACCGATAAAGACAGCTGATATGAGGGCATATGACATATATAACAGAGACATTCAAATAAATCCACATTTAGAGCCTGAAATTAGTCATGGAGAATAATAGTCCCTCTGCACCCAGCTGGAACAGTTTCAACAAGATCCACTTTTCTAAATGTTAAACTATGTAGTTCATTGATTTGTTTCTCCTCTTAGTCCACTATGTTTCATGTTACATCTGATCAGATGGAATAGTTTCAGTTTCATAAAGCTTTCCACTATTCTTTGTTTTAAATGTTTGGTAACACTGCTGCTGAGATACATTGGATCCAACAGGGATCAATAAAGTATAAAAAATACAAAGAGCTTTATTTTTTTTTTTAATAAAACATGTGCAGTATGCCTGAAGCTGCCTTACTTTGAATTGTTGAAATGCATTTTGCATGAGGATGGTTAAAGTAGCCACTTAGTGTCACATCTTGTAAATTCTTCACAAACAAATTGTTCTTATTCAACGTCTACTCTTTGTCAGAGTGGGGCGACGGGATGAAAACGAAATCTCCAAAGACAAAAAGCAAGATTATTTTTTTAAACTGAAAGACATGTTCAAAGCCCATTCATTCTAAATCAAATTGGACATGTTTAATGTGGTTATATAAACTCTTGATGGTAACCCTCGGGGGTGATTTTTAGAGCAAACCATCTGTTAGGGATGCTGGGCCATCTGACAACTGTTAATAGTGGGAATGAGCATAAAAACAGATAGAGACTTATCTTGTATGTTGTCACTTCCAGTAAAACCATCAATACAAATATTGAGCAAGAGTCTGAAACTGAACACCTGTCTGCATAACAAAAAGAAAATCATAGATCCAGACCCAGAATTAGATCAAGCTGAATAAAACAACTTATGTTTGAGTAAAACCATTTTCTGCAAAAATGACAAGCAAATGCAACCTTGGACTTTTTGAAAAAGTCAAACATTTGAACCTCAAATGAGTGATTTTAGCAAATCAGTGACTATTTTAATCCACTGATCAAGTCAAACAATCCAAAATGTAGCATCCAGCAAATTGCATTTTATAAAATATATGGTGTTTCTTTTTCAAAAGGCATCATTTTCTTTGTTTTGTTGTGTTTTCTAACTTTAATTCCATTCATTCACAGTTTGTTTTCGTTTTCAATATGAAGTTTTCATAAAGTTCTTCTATTTTGTTTCCTCTTGTTCAAAACTTAAAACTCCCTTTATGGGCTGCCACAATGGATCATCCTCCCTGAAGCTCCTCTGCTCCTTCTCAGCTCTTTAATCAGCATCATTTGTTCATATAACCACCTCTCCTGCACATGATCAGCTTTATTTTTTAAATTTCTCTCATTGCTTTAGCACATAAACCACATATTTAAACAAATTTCAGCCCTGAACCCCAAATTTGAACCACTGATTTAAAAATATATCAAATTAGTCTAAATCGTCTCATTTTTCTTGATTGTCCTCAATCCCAATGTGTGTTAAACAGAAATATTCAATCTAATAAATGCGAACCTGCACCTACCACGCATACACGCACGCACCTCCCCTGTGGTCCCGGATTCACGTGACGTCAGAGTCTCTTTAAAACCGATGGAGCTGCTCCCATTCCTCTTTACATCCAGCTGGAGGGTGCGCTGCAGGGACTTACATGCTCTCCCATCTTATGCAGGAAAAGCTTTAGTTTGAACAGCGGGATTGACGGGGTAAATGTGAGATTATAAGCTAGCGCGGGTTTTAAAAATGTGAGCGAAGTGATGCGTTCAGGTAACAGGCGCTTAAAGGATAAAGGTGCGCGCTAGAAGCAAAACCTAACATCAGTGGAGAAATGCGCGTCTTGAACGCAACATGAAGCTTTCAGGTGCTCACGAGGAAAGGATGGCTGCAGAGTTTTAAAACTTTCCGAGTGTAAAAATGTCCTCTCCTCCAGAGTGAAGTCCACCACTTTAGATGAATGGACAGCGGGATGTTTTCCGTCCAGGCTGCTCTGAACCGCAGCTTGAACCAGAGCGATGAGCGCGCGCCGGGGGACTCCAAGCTCTCCCCCGCGGGCTTCGTGGTGCTCTCCGTGGCGCTGGGCTTCATCATGACCTTCGGCTTCCTGAACAACTTCGTCGTCCTGCTGCTGTTCTGCAAGTTCAAGAAGCTGCGGACTCCGGTGAACATGCTGCTGCTGAACATCAGCATCAGCGACATGTTGGTGTGTCTGTTCGGAACCACGCTCAGCTTCGCCTCCAGCATCCGCGGGAGGTGGCTGCTGGGCCGCGGGGGCTGCAGCTGGTACGGCTTCATCAACTCCTGCTTCGGTGAGTTCCTTCAGCTTCAGCGTTAAAACACCTGACACAGATCTGAGATGTGAATTATATGAAATAATAACTCGAGAAATGTCAGTTCTGTGCAGCACTTAACTTCCAAAATCTGTTCATATTCAGATGCTCCTCTTGCAGAGAATGATGCACAAGTGAAAAATTAATTTGGTAAATCTTTTATATGCTCAAATGATGTGCAAAAAACAGCATTCCATGCAATTTAAGAGTCCCCCCCCCCTCCTAAATTAGATCATCTGTTTTATTTTTTTTAATGGAAGAAATCTCAAGAGGTTGAAGTGCTTTTTAAATAAATACTTTCTGACGGATGCTGTCACACTTTTATGAAATATTTCTGAATTTTATCGATTTCCATTTTCTTTCTTAAGATGCGATCACAGCAGTTTAGATAAATGATCGTGTCCAATAAGGATGACGTTTTAAATAACTTCGGCCTGCTTTGTTATAGTTAGAACAGAAATCTTATATTGAGCTTTTAATATTAGTAAAGCAGCTTTCTTTCTTCGGATGGCTCCAGCAGCACATCCACAAGTGCAATAGGCGAGATAGAGTGGAAGGGAAGAATCTTTCTGCACCACTTTGCAGATAAAGATAGACAATGATTGATAGAATTAGTCACAGCATGGATATTGTACCTGAGCTGAGCTCACTTTTCATGTAGCCAAACCCTTCAGAAGCAATCGACGTGACATTTCAACAAATTTGAGTCTTTCTAAGATGGATTTCACAAGGTTAGTGAAAAGTACAGGACAATATGTAATTCTTGAGTGACAGCATGCAGACGTCTAAATAACTAAAGCGTATATTATATTCTAAGTCTTCATTTTACAACATTTTGGTCATAATACAAAATATTTGAATAAATCTTGCCTCGTACTTCCTGAAAAGTAAGACATATGTTCTCTCTCACGTGGTTGTGAGATGTTCTTTTTTGCATGAACATTTTTACTCAAGAGAAACTGTAGGCAGAACTCTGGGTAAGCCCTCCTACTGAAACACACTTCACACAAACAGATACAACTACACAGCAACAGCACGCTTGGCTGAGGTGAACGTTTATTTTCAGGTGATGATGGAGGAGTTGGAGTACAAAGAGAAGAACATATTACAGTAGGATGAGGAACATCTGGTATTAAACTAAGGAGAAGCACTAATATGCAACTTTGTCATGAAGAGACCTCCACCGTGTTTGACAGACGATGCACAATAACAAGCAAACACAAGCTATATGTTTAAGCTTCCTTGCTGTCACGGAGCAAAGAAAGGAAATTGGAAATACTCTCTGTCCATTTGAGGCAATGAGGGTTCAGCATCCTGCTCAGGGACACTTCAACATGTGACTGCTGGTGGAATCGAACCTCCAACTCTCCCGTTGGAGGACGGCTGCTCTAACCACTCAGCCACAGCTGCCCGAAAAAAAAAAAAAAAATCATAATTTTAAGTTATTTATACTCTGCAAAGCACTTCCTGTTCTGTATCTATCTCATCCATCTAAAACACTGAAATGACATAAAAGTACACAACAGAAAAGTTGTTAAAACCTCTCTCTTCCTTCAGAATTATGTTGATCTTGATGGTGCTTCATTACTGTGTACTTTCACTATATGTATACAGTATACTGTGTACTTTTTCTAATAAGTAAAAATCTTTTGCACAATAAGTCCTACCTTAGGTTCATCATGAGGTCTTCTAGTAATCTTGCAGTCGATGAAACCACTGTGAAGTCATCTGTTCCACTGGTTGTCTAGTGTTTGTTTTCCTGGTCATGGTTTTTCATGAACTCATCAGTATACTGCCATAAAGTTACTTTTTCATATGACAGCCATTCCACACGGTCTTCTCAGTCTACAAATAAACGTTTGCATTTTAATCTTCACTTTGCAAGTATGCACAATGAAAAATACACCAAAAATATAATTTACACATTTAACAGTATATTTATGAAGTAGTATAATAAAATGTATTTTTTCCAAGTCTCCAAAAAGTATATCACGATGGGTCTTCTTGTCTGATTTTGAGTGCTACTGGAGCTTAGCAGCCTCGTCACATGGGGAAGGAAGCTGTTCCACATTCTGGTTGTTCTTGACTCTAGAACGCTGCTGTCTTCCAGAGGTCATACTTTCTGCTCTGATAACATGTATTCTATTATTTTTCCAACTCTATGTGATGCTCAGTTGTTTGCTCCATAGCCATATCAAGTTAAATTACATTTTGTTCTTTTGCTTATTTATTTATTTTGTTGTCATCATCCCTTTCATGACTTCTTCCTTTTGTCTTCATAAATAGTATAAACTCTCACGGTTCATTGTAATATTCGCACTAATCTGTTTTTTTATTCTTGGTTGCTGCTTTTGCACTTCTCTGTGGGTGTTTTGGTGTAGCAGTGTGTTCATTTCAGTTACAAAAAGGTTCATATACTTCATGCTGTGTCCATATCTGTGGGTGTTTTGACTTTGTTTTCATTCATGCTTCTTTACTGTGCTGATGGCATTTAGTTTTTGTACAAACAAACCTTTTATTAGTGTGGTATTAAACTCTAGATCTTGTTTTTGTATTTATAATGAGTCATGACATAAACAAAATTAGCAAATAGCTTCGTTGACTCAAGTTTTTTCCCATTATTTGCCTTTTGCCTCCTTCTGGATTTGGGACCTTCAACCACAAAACTTGACATCAAGTACTATGTTAGTCAAACAATATACAGTCTGTCCCACATTATACTATACTTAATGTGTTTCAATTCAATTCAAAAATACTTTATTAATCCCAGAGGAAAAATAAATGTTGTAACTCATCCTGGTTTCATTAAAGAGTTGTTCTAGATGCTGATGTCTGTGGGCAGGAAGGATCTCTGTCTTACAGCTGATCTGAAGACACTGTTGTTGGATGACAGTCTGATGAAGAGGATGCTGAGGGTTGTCTATAATGTTCTTCATTTTATGAAGAATCCTTCTTTGTACAATCATCTCCAAAGGTTCTAGAGGAGTCCGCAGAACTGAGCCAGCCTTCTCTATGAGCTTGTTGATATTTTTTAAGTCACTTGCTCTGATGCTGCTTCTGGGGCTGGGCGATATAGACTAAAATTAATATATCAATATTTTTAAGATAAATCGCGATATACAATATACATCTCGATATTCAAACATCTTCTAAGTTCATGGCAAAATCCAACGCAGACATGTTCCTGTTTTTAGTATTTTACACCACTTTATAATGTAGCTGCTTTTGTTTTGTTTTTTTAATTTCATTTTCTTCCATTTATTTTTTCAATTTATATGCTTTCTTTTATGATTGTCTACTGTTGTCATCATTAAAAAAAAAAAAAACCTCTTGTAAATGAGTCCCGAGGCTCAATGAGCCTAACCTGTATAAATAAAGGTTGAATGAATTAATATTTTTTTCTTTCCATAATTAATAACAAAAATATATTTCTGAGCTAAAGCTTTGTCCCATTTGTCACACAGGCAAATTTATTAACAAACAGCTGTAACTCTACTAAATGTCTAAAAAAATAAACTATTTACATACATTAAATAATAATCTCTTCAGCTGCGCCACCTTCACAACGTTAGTAAGCGTGTGTGAAGCGACACGTGAGAGACTGTGTTTGTATTCAGTGAGGGAGAAGCAGGGGCTGTGTGAATTTGGACGGGCAGAAAAAGAAGAACTACTGTACAGATTTTCAAGTCATACAGTGAGGGGTAGCACCTGTGCCACATTAATAAAGCAGTGGCTTATTCATATTGCTAAAGGCACGGTCCTTAGCGGCTAACAAGACGGCTAACTTTAGCCATCTCGTTCAACAGATCAGACTGGGACCTTAGCAATATGATAAGCTGCTGCTTTATTAATGTCGCGTTACCTCTCACTGTTCCTCTCATAAGGCACTGCACGGCTAAATGAGTTTTGACCCGTGGTTTGTTTCAGGGAAGGAGGCTGAAGTCAACAGTCTGACCTGCAGCGAACTTGACTTATAGCGCTGTTTTAAATGTGAAACAGATTCGTAGTTCTGACCTTTCGTCGGGACTTGTTTTTAGCATCGTCTACAGAAAACATTTTTCTGCTGCTTCATCTGACAAATCCAAACCTTTTCTAAATAACAGCCAGTATTTTTCTTTTTGCTGAGCAGCTAAGCTGCTCTTGATATCTCCCGTGTTTACTTGTTGTGTTAAACTCCAGGCCACCTGGAGAAGCAGGAAGCGGGTGGAGCGGGTGAGGTGCTGTGTTTGTATTCAGAGAGGGAGAAGGAAGGGGCTGGAGGCGCAGAGGGGAGGAAAAGAACTACATGGATAATAATACTCGATGGTTGTGAGAGCCATTTTAACCATCATAAATTAAAAAACAATCAATATTCAGTATATTCGATATATCGCCCAGCCCTAGCTGCTGCCCCAGCACATGATGGCAGAAGAGATGGCGCTCTCTACAACAGACTTATAGCAGATATGCAGCATCTTGCTGCAAACACTGAAGGACTTCAGCTTCCTCAAGAAGAACAGTCTGCTCTGTCCCTTCTTGTAGACGCTTCACTGTTGCATTTCCAGTCCAGTCTGTTGTCCAGGTGAACTCCAAGGTATTTATACTTCCCCACCACCTCCACTTCTTCTCCCATGATGGAAATAGTGTTTTACCTGTTCATGCATCTCCTGAAATCTACAATCATCTCCTTTGTTTTAGTCACATCCAAGACGAGATGATTGTTTCCACACCATGCCACAAAGCGGTCCATCAGTTCCCTGTACTCAGCTTCTTGTCCATCTCTGATACACCCGACCACTGCAGAGTCATCAGAATATTTCTGCAGATGACAGGAGTCTGTTTTTTTTTTTTTTTTTACTGAAACTCTAAGGTGTACAGAGTGAAAAGGAATGGTGAGAGTACAGTCCCCTGTGGTGCGCCTGAGCCACTGACCACCTGGTTGGACACACAACCCTTCAGTCTCACAAACTGTGGTCTGTCCGTCAGGTAGTCTCTGATCC